TGGTAATATTGCATGCACCTAAACAAGATAAGCCAGTTTGGTGTTGTAGTTTTATTGTTTTTGTTAGTTGCGAACTTGTGTCTGACCCATTGCGACCCCATGGACAACGTTCCTCCATGCCTTCCTGTCCTCTACCATCCCCTGGAGTCCATTCAAGCTCACGCCTACTGCTTTGGTGACTCCATCCAGTCACCTCATTTCTGTCTTCCCCTTCTTCTTTTGCCCTCAATCTTTCCCAGCATTAGGCTCTTCTCCAGTGGGTCCTTCCTTCTCATTAGGTGGCCAAAGTATTTGAGTTTCATCTTCAGGATCTGGCCTTCTAAAGAGCAGTCAGGGTTGATATCCTTTAGGACTGACCGGTTTGATTGTCTTGCAGTGCAAGGGAGTCTCTGGAGTCTTCTCCAGTACCTTAGTTCAAAGGCTTCAATTCTTTGGCGCTCAGCCTTTCTTATGGTCCAACTTTCACAGCCATACCTTGCAACTGGGGAAGACACACTTTTGTTGGCAAGATGATGTCTGTGCTTTTTAGTATGCTGTCTAAAGTTGCCATAGCTATCCTCCCCAGGAGCAAGTGTCTTTTAGTTTGTAGTTTATCAAGCTACAAAAGGGAGACTATGAGTTCTGGTCCCATCCTGGACATGACGCCCATTAGGTAACCTTGGGCCAGTCACTTTCACTCAGTCCTAAGAAGGAGGTAATGGCCAAGCACTTCTAAAAAAACCTTGCCAAGAAAGCTGCAGGGACTAGTCCAGGTAGTCTCTGAGAATTGGGGATGATTCAAGAAAATTCAAGAAAAAATAAAGATAAGTAGGGTTGAGTCTAGTTGGTACTTGGATGGAAAATGAAGCCTCAATCTAAGGACTGTAGGCTGGGGGGGAGGGAGTGGGGGTGGTGGGGAAACCTCCTGGAAGAAGGAAGTGGATGGAAACGACTTCTCTGTTGCTGCCAAGACAGCTACACAAAAGGTATCCAGGAGTCAATTTCCACCGAACCGGGTCTTTTTAACGCCTTTCTCTCTGTAGTAGAAATGGGTAATTTTAAATCACTTCCATTCCACAAAGGGGCGCTGTAGCCCCGTGGTAGCTTCCCAGCGGCTTACTGAAAAATCGATCCGGATTCGCTTACCCCTGTTTCGCGTAAGAAGATCGGAACGAGCCCGCTTCCATTTCCCCTTCTGCTTCCCTTGCAGAAAGAGATCGCTGCTACTGCCCGCGCAGTGGATCCTCTTCTGAGGCTCTTTCCTCTTTTCATTTACACCCCTTTTCTTCCTTTGGGCCAGCGTCATCCTAACCACATTGACAGATTTATTGTGAACAAGAGCAATCGGGGAGGTTGCGTTTGTTAGCTTTCCAGACCGCCATCAAACTTTTTATTTTATTTCTACTGCTTTTATTAGCAGCAGGAATCCGAGGATTCTTAGTATCCGAGAGTCCCCAGGAAAGAGCCGCTTTCTTTTCCCACACGGGGAAACCCGCCGCGAGTTTCTCTCTCTCTCTCTCCCCCGCCCCCCAGATTCCGATACGCGAAGTAAAACCATTAGAACTCCCGCCACAAACTCGCTACTTTCCCCCCAACCGGCTCGCGGTCAAGTCCCGACTCAAAAAGGGACTCTGCAAGGCACCCGCAGCGCCCCAGCGCGCGCGCCACTCCAAGCAAGATTGGCCGCCGCGCGGGTACGCGCGCGCCCGGAGGGTTGGGCTGGTTGGCTGGCCGGTTGCTAAGGCAACCGGGAAGAGCGAAGAGCAGCCTCGGTCCTGGAAGATTCTCTACCCCCCCCCCTCGTGCCCACCCCGCTTCCTCGGGTAGCTGAGATTCAAGGACGGCGTCCTTCCGCGACCCAGGGGTTATGGAGAGCCCCGGGGTGCTCAAGGCGCAACGGCAGGTCATATCGGGACTGGCTGCAGCTCTGGAAGGAGGCGCGCCTGGAGGGACAGGTAAGCCGCCCGGGCTGCGGAGTAAAAAGGCGCTTTTGCAGAAGAATGCGGAAAGTTTTGCAGCCTTCGGCTCGCCCCGCTAAGAAAGAACGGGGAAGGTTGCCACGCCGCGCTCCTTCGGCCGCGGTTCGGGAGCGGTCCGAGGAGCGCCAGGAAAGAGTTTGTCAAGAAGACCCGCGCTCTCCGCGGGGGCGCCCTATCTCGCGTGGAGCCAAAAGCGTCCGGCCGCTGAAGGGCTGGGGAGAGAGAGGGCTGAGGCTCTTTCTCGAAGGCGAAGGACTAAAGGCAACGGGCGCCGGAGCTGAAGTAGCCCCTAGGGCCCCCAAAAGGCCCCGGGTCCTTGCAGTCGTGCGCTCGGGGAGGGCGGGAGAAGAGGAGGGGAAGGGAGGGAGGGAGGGAGGAGGAAGAGAAGGAGCTGTAGACGTCGTTCCCGGCTGCCTGTTATTCCTCAGCCGGGGCTGCTGCTGCTGCTGCTGCTGCTACTCCCTGCGTGAAAAGGGCAACAGCAGCCGCCTCACCAGCTGAGCGTGGCTCTCAAATGAGACTCGCCAGCCAGCCAGCCAAGCAAGCAGTCGGCAGCTCTAACGAGAAAGCTGGTGCGGGCGGCCGCTCGGGAGGTGTCGGATGCTTCAAACCACAAGACAAGAGCCGGTGCACCGTTTAGTAGCGGCGGCGGCAGCAAGCCATTGCAGAGGCATCCCGCTTCATTCATCTTCTCGTCCCTGCCCTCCACGATTTGGGTGGCGTTTCTTCATTTTTTTTATTTTTTTTAAAAAAAAAACTCTTGGGTTTTGCCCTTCCGGTCCGAGGTCGAAGGGAGATCGGGGGCTTCGTGGACGCGAGAGGTAAATGAGGGCGAATGGAAACTCGGGTTCCGCTAGAAAAATCGGATTGGCGTAGCTCCCTTAATCCATTGATGCTGTCTTTTGCAAAGTTTAGTTGCCAGTTTTGAATTTGCAGAGGAGAACACGCCGGCATTTAAACCGGGACTCGGTCCTGTAAATTGAGACGGAATGAGTTATTGTAGCACAGTTAAGAAAGCGTGAATACATGTTTTGAATGCGTTCTGCTAAATAAGGGTGCTAAATTTGCTGCTGAGCAGGAAGTAAAATGTAGTCTTTTGTACTACATTTTTGTAGTATATTGTGGATCTCTTAGTACCAGGTGGATGCTGAGACTCTTATGGCCAAATGTGAGCTCAATCTGATCCAACTGGCTCTTTTATATTCTAAAATTCTTAACCTAGCAAGAGTACATGGTCAGAAGCAGCTAATGCAGCTTGGTTTTATATTTCAGCTGTTAAGAAATCTTGTAGATGATCTTGCTTCCTCCTACCTTATAAATACATTATAAGTATAAGTATAATCTTTATTGTCATTGTACTTAAATACAACGGAATTAGTAACCACAGGGATTCTGGGATGTTGGTGTGGATGATGGAATAGATCACCCAAGACTGAAATCGATCCACTCCTGCTTTAAGACATCCATGCTTAAAAGTCTGTCTCCTTCCACTCCTGTTTTCATGCTGGGGTTCGTACTTCATAAAAAAAATGAGTGTAATTTTTTTCTGGACACAATTTATGTTGGAATGATGTACATTTTGTTTCTATATCTAGCCTACCTGAACATTGGAATTAGAATTCCAGTCAGAAATAGTTTGGAGTATAATTTCTCTGGTTTCATGCTTCAGGGGATGTCTGTATTGGTGGATTGTTAAGATTCCAGACCTGGAACCAGAAAGTGAGACCTTGTGTGTTCTATACAAGGAAAAGGTGTTATGCAGCTTGGATGTAATAGGCAGTGTTTACTATCATAATTACCAGCTCTTGCAAAAATCTAATTGCATGTTTAACTTCCCTAAGTGTATCTATACCTAGATTGGGATATTATCAGCCAAGGAGTGACTAGGGAGCTGGCTCCATGTTGCTTTGTACCACCACCTAGATTGGATCTTCAGTGCTCAGCTCCATGCAAGGGTAAACTCTGAATCTAAGCAAAAATATCTGGCATTGGTAGGAAGTACTTGTGGTATACTACATGAAAGCTTTCAGTCACTGTAATAAGGATCATGCAGACATATTGTAACAGTGAAATTTCTATCAATCTTGTTCAGTGTATTGATAATTTATATTTCACCTTTAGATGATTGCAGAATTTTTCTAGTCTTAAGGTTTTTATATCAAAACCATATTTAAAATGAACATGATATATCAGATTGGATGTCATATTTAACTTGGAAACATAGTTTGGAATTCTGATTTATCCTTCAAGTTCAGTTATTGATCTTGGGATGATGTATTTTTCCCCATGTTTGGATATGGATGAAAGGTATTGGATCTTCACAAATACTTTAAGCTGATGATAATAATATAAAAATCTAATACTAATTAAGAGAACTGTAGCATTACATTTTTGTATTATGACAGAAGAAGAAAGTTTCATTTGAACATCAGAATTTTCTTGTCATTCTCTATTGGTAATAAAAGTTTTAAAGAAGTTTTTGCAACTATGTTCATTTCTTTGCTGTACAAGGATATAGGGAGAGCCTTGAAGCTTTCCTGTGAAGTCCTATTTCTGCTCATGCATGGCCTGAGATTAATCTGCAAGGGTGTTGATGTAGTCACAAAACTGAAAACTGTAATACAAAGAGACTCAAAGAGAAAAAGAAAGACTGCACTTTTTCTGCCTCAGAGGTTTGTTCCCATTGTCCTTATTTGCACTTGGTTATGTCATGCTGTCGCAGCAGGGCATAACTTGATGTGACTGATGCAGTTTCATGTGCCACATCATAGTGAGGTCAGTGTATAGCCATGGCAGATTGTGGAAGATTGTAGAGAATTTGGAAAAGATTAGTTTGTGCCCATTTAATATTTTGTTCTATTAATTTCATTAACTCTTATCTTTCTACATAGATATCTCTGTGATTTAAACTGCATTGAACTACACAAAACATGCAATATGGTTATTGAATTTGCTACAAAGGAATAATTTATCATTTTTATCCTCTGTTTGGATAAAAACTGTTCTTTGTTATTTATTTTGGGTGGCCTATTAATTCTTCAGAAATCTGAGTAATGGCATGGCAAAATTAGACAGCCTGCTTGGAAAGAGCTGTCTTATGGCAAACCAGCAGCAAGTTTTATCCTCTAAATTGTATAATGTTAAACTACATGTATTTCCCCTCTTGGAAGCAGAAATTTTAAAACAAAACATAAAACATGTTGATGTCACAACCCTAATAAGCTTACCTAAATATTACAGGAAAAATGCTTTACAAAGTGAAGACTTGTAGTGACCAAATGTCTATGGAGATTCTCAGTCATCAAGGTCATGATTGTCCCAAAGGTGCTTTTTTCCCCCCTAGAGGCAACTGAACTTTCTGATTTTTCTTTGAAGATGTTTCCCTTCTCATACAAGAAGCTTCTTCAGAGCAGTTATAAAAAATAAAAAATAATGGTCCAAATTATTTTTGCCTGTGCAAGTCAAAGAAACAAAATGAGATACAAATAGGACAGAAATTCTAGACTTTTCATATACTGTGCTAGGAATGAACGATAGGTGACAAAACCAAGAAAAATATCTAGAGATAACAAATACGGTACATCAGGGAAAATATTGATAAAAGTAGCTGTGCAATGGCATACTTCAGAAAGAATATTCAAGGATTAAAGATGGCGCAAAAAGGTAGCCTGACTGACCAAGGAACATTTCAGTTTGAGGATTTTTTAACTTTGGGAAAAAGCAATTTAAGGATAAAATGATAGATGTTTATGGAACTGTACATGATGAAGAAAAATGTAGATACCATTGTACGTTATTTTATAGAAGACTGTTTCAAAGTTTGTCAAAGGGGACAATCTTCTGCTTATGTAGAGAACCACAGTGATGTCCTTGGAGAAACTGTGCAGAAACAGTTACATGGTTAAAAAAAATACTGTATATTTTAAACTGGGGAACAAAGAAAATATTGGGATGAACCTCAGAGTGGTTATTTCCCTAGGGTCTGAAAGGGAGGGAGGGGGAAATGCAGCCAGGCTTTCAAGATTCTTGTAGTATGCCCTATGTCAATCAATATAATACCAGTCAAATCTGTGCAGTTTCCTGTCCTGTACTGTCTTGAAGAGTTGACAGCAAGGATTCTAGCCTGTAATCAATTTTTTAAAAATGTAAAAGAGAGCAGTTACTTCCTCAACAGCACATCAGGCAAACAGACAGGTCTTCCTCATAATGTTGAGCTGCGTTATATTCCTATTTAAATATAGTTGTTATTAAGTCACATCATAGGAACAATGTACAGATTTTTTTGACTAGACGCATATGACAAAATTTATACGAGCCTAATTATATTTGTTTTCTTTGTTCTTACTACAGGCTTTGAGAAAGCCTTGAGTCTCCAGATGCTATCAAACAATAATTACCATCATGTCCAGCTGGCACAGCTAGTGTTAAGAGATGAAAGAAGTTGCAATCAAATAATTTCTTGGGATCCAAAGTCATAAAAAGTTGCTCTAGATCAGTGCTGTCAAACTTGCAGCTTGCGGGCTGGATGCATGTGCTGGCTACGCTTGTGGCCAGTTTAGTGAAGGGGGAAAAAGTCACGATACATCACGTGATGAAGCCATGGCAATGCGAGTTTGACATTCCTGCTCTAGATTATACCTCTTGCTTATGTATGCTAAGATTAAGTAGCAGTAACTGTTGCGGGATTTATGATAGCCTGTTTAAATGTTCCATAAGCAAAGAGTGACAACTGATAACAGAAAAAGTTAACTGTGCTAACTCATCATTAAATAATCATGCATTGGTAATATTTGCTATGTTTAGAGGAGAAGTGTCATGTATAAAGTTCTTTGATCAGATCTCATCTGAATTGCTCTTTCAAAACAAAGTTAATTTATCGCAGAGATCACATATATTTCTCTCCCTTTTAGGCCTTTCTATGTGCGGAAGAAGAAGAAGCTGATGACACCACTGCATGGATGATTTTACATAATTTACACATCCTAGATTTGCAAAAAGCAATTATCATTGTGAAGTATTTACACTGATTTATGGGGAGAAGGAAGCCTGGGAAAGGGATGCTGATGTTATCAACACAGTGGATTAAGCACACATTTGCACCTTTATTGACATATAATTTATCCATGCCAAGAATGCAATGAGCAAAAGAATGCTGCTGGAGCAATGAGGAAGATGCTACTGGAGCAATGATGTGTCACAGGCTATTAGATATGGATTCCGTCTGGCCATTCCCCTATAAAGCACATCAATGGAATTCTACATCTGAGCTGAAGTAGAAGATAACAACATGTACAATGTTTGTCTGTTGAGACAATTAGAAGTGATGGCACACCAGAATTCTGAAAGGATTATAAAAAACAAGGAAGAGAATTGAAAATTATATATTTTTTAAATTTCCCATTAATATTTTCTTACTTATACTGTGGATTTTGAAGAAAACGGATTTCAGGAGACCCAAGGAATTTTATTACTGGGAAATGGAATCTGGATTGGAATCTAGCCAGCACAAAAAACAAAAGCCTGTGACCCATGGACTGGAAGATCAAAAAAGAGTAAGTGACCTAGACATTACCAGTGTTATTTGGTGTTTCAACTTAAGCTTCACCCCAAGCTAAATTTGAGAAGTTTGAATTCCATTGACAATTTCTGTATCAGTTACAGATTTTCAGTGTAATAGTTGGTGGTACATGAGTTTCCTTGGACTGAACTCACATTGTTGTTTAATTGGTCTAGTACTTTCTTGTAAGTTAGGAATATAGAAATGAAAGCCACCTACATATTTATGAAAGGGGCAGGAAGAATCAGTAGTACAATACGTTTATGGCCACATAGTGACATCAGTAAAGGAGATAAATATTAAGCTCATGTATTGTTTGCCTTGCTGAAATAGTTTGTATATAAAGGTCTTTGTAATTGTTACTAACCTGCTCATATTTACTCACAATAAAAAACACGTGGTATTCATTGGTTTGACTCCCTGGAGAATGAAGGTAAGATGACCTCTGGATGGAAACGTTGGGTTTTGAGATTGGACAATTGATTTGAAATAAATTTCTCAGTGTCTTGAACATTAGAAATGCATATTGAAAAAGGATTGCTTAAATGCAGAATGAGAATGGCACATGACTGCTGGTATCTTAATATTGCCTTGCTTTATATATGAATATTATATATATTGATGTGTCATTGTCTACAAAATATTGTTATCATTAGTCATATTGGAAAGTAGTGATTAGACAGTTGAATTAAAGCTTTTCTTTTTGCTATGAGACAACAAATTTTAAAGTATCCCTTAGCTATAGAAATCAATAGGGATTACTTGTCAGTAGACAATCTAATATATTCTGGTTCCTGGGGAGGCTCTCTTTCAGTATGGCTTAAACAGATAGTTTAATAAAAAAACATTGAAATATGTAAACAATAAATTTGTCATTTGCCCTGATTTACTCTACCATTTTAATTATATTAGTTGATTTGAGAGGTAGTGGAGAAAGAAAGATGATGTGTGTTTCATTGTCTTTTGTTAACTCCCTTGACAAAACGTAAAGTTAATTTTTCTTTGGAAATAAAACCAGCCTTTTGGAAACAAAACAGGGTTTTTTCTTTTCCCCAGAGAGCCCCCCATAGAATCTCTCTGTGCTTTTTAATGCATCATGTTAACTATATCAGCAGAAGCTGACAAGATCCTTCTCCCATCTTCACAGCCGTCTTCCGAGGTGGAAATAATGATCGATAGACAGTGAGAGAAAAATCCCTCCTATTGACTTAATTTCCAAGAAGCCTTTAATATATATATTTAAGCCATATCTACACAAAGGTTTTGGATATAGGAGGAAAATATTTTGTGTCCTTGACAACACTGACACCAAGATTCTGCTGAGCAGGTTTACCAATATTAATATGCAATTTTGACTTCAGCGTTGATATGTCCAAAAGCCTCTCCATCTCCCATCTGCTCTTGGCTCTGGGTGTTTGGTGCACATGTAAAATGGGGCCTCTGAAAGTATAATATAACCCCAAGTGAGGCTCAGTGGCAGCTGGGATAACATCAATTGGTCATGCTTAGCTGACATTCATTTTAACTTGAACTCTAGCCATCATGCAGATTATTAAATTTATAATGATATATGTAAGATCCATTTTAATGACTCTTCACGCCTGGATGATGTCTTTCTTTCTTACTTATGTTTGCAAAACAACACTTAATGGAGTATTAGGTTTCCTTTCTCGCTGAACCCTTCAAGTTTTTTTTATTAAAGTTGTGGGTAGGGAAGTTTGGTAAAACAGATTTAGGCTTGCGCAAGGAAAGGAAATTGCTGTTTATTCTTTGGCTAAAGACAGAGCACCTTCCTGATTCTCTGAGAAATGTGCAGGAAGAGGGACTGTGTAATGAGGCTGCTGTCTAACATTAATAATTAATTCTTGGAAGAGATTTTGTTCATTTGAAATAAACTAGATTCCTGTCTGAATCAATGACAGAGAAATGACATGAATTTGCCTTGTATTTTTTTCCCTTGTAAGTAAATAACCTGGTGTTAGGTGCTTGCAAGGTTTTATTCTCACCTATCTTGGAAGTATGACACTGTAACAACAACGTACATAAGCTGAGGCTTGGTAATTTTTTTTTATATAAGAATGATCTTATCTGATTTTATCTTGTCCAACGTTGGAACTAAATGAACAATATTGACCTTTGCATCTATTTCCAGCACAACTTTTAATTTGCTTTTTAGAATTACATTTTGTGTACATTGACTTTGTTTTCTTATTCATTTTTAGACTAATACTGAGTGGATCTTACCTTACATTCTTGTACAGGTAGCCCTCAACTTACAACCACAATTGAGACCAAAATTTATGTTGCTAAGTGAAAAATTGGTTAAGTGAGTTTTGCTCTATTTTACTATTTTTCCTGCCACATTTGTTAAGTGAATCATTGCAGTTGTTAAATTAGTAACATGGTTGTTAAGTGTATCTGGTTTCCCCTTTGACTTTGCTTGTCAAAAGGTTGCAAAAGGGGATCACATGACCTCAGAACACTGCAATCATCATAAATGTGAGTCAGTTGTTTGAAGGTTAATCAGGTGACCATGGGAATGCTGCAGTGGTCATAAGCATGAAAAATGGTCATCAGTCACTTTTTTCAGTGCTGTTGTAACTTTGAATGGTCATTAAGTGAACTGTTGTAAGTCCAGGACTACCTGTAATAGTGCTCCATAAAGCCAGACACTGGGGTCTTTTCCTATTCTCCCCAAATTATGTAATGGAGGTGGTTGCAAAGAAGCTTTATTGATTAGATCCTGGCAATATTGAAATGGCTTTGACATCAATTATCTCAAAATTACACTGGATTTATTCACCCCATTTTAAGGCTTTAATCAGAGGTGGGTTGTTCCCAGTTTGGCCCGGTTCAGCCGAACCAATAGTGGCGGCACCCACTCAGACACTTCTACGCACATGAGCGAACTGGTAGTAAAACCAGTATAAACCTACCCCTGCCTTTAATGTGAATTGTAAGGCAAAATCCTGGATTATTCTTATTTTTAAAGTTTTGCTTGAAAAATATTTTAAAACTCTGGGAATTTATTTTCTAAAAAGGAATGGTATTTATTCTGCTTATTATTATGTTTCTATCTTTTCTTTGGGTGCTCTTGTATTGCATTGTTATAGGCAAAGCAATATATATCTTTATAATGTCACATGCTATCATTGCATTGCACAAGAAAGACTGGTGGCAGTCAATAATTCTTGGAAGATCACTGGGTTGCTGATTGCTGTTTTTAATCATTCTCTTCCTTGGCTGGTGAATTAAGTGCTGATACCTTAATTTACCTGACTATGAACCATGTAAAATATGCTGTAAGGCAGAGCCTAGTATTGTTCTTAGTCTAGGAAGATCTATTTAACCATTGTATATGAGGTCAAATGAAATTTTCTGTGATTGATTTATCTTGGATACATTTTTTTCCTTGCTAACTTTTTCATTTAGATTTTCAAAGACATGCGTGGCTTGAATATGGTGTCAGAGGATACAACATATTTCATTTTGTTTTTCTAATAAATACTTATTGATTAATGTCTGAATGAGATGGTATTTTAGATGTAAAAATAAATTGATTCTGAAGTCTTTATGCTTTGTGTTCTGTTGTTAGTTCTGTTGAACTAATGACTAACCATCTGAGAACCACCCCACATTTTATTTTAATAATAGCTTTATGGAATTGAAAATTTGAAGACTTCACCTTTCCTATTCATTTTCTTCCTTCCTTTAACTTTTTATTCACCACACAGGTATCATAGCAATAGCAGACTTATCTACCACTTCACAGTGATTTAAAGCCTTCTGTAAGTCGTTTACAGAGTCAGAATATTGTCCCCAACAGTCTAGATCCTCATTTTACTGACCTTGGAAGGATGGAAGTTTGAGTCAACCTTGATCCGGTAAGGATCAAACTCCTGACAGTTGGCAGAATTAGCCTGCAATGCTGCATTCTAACCACTGTTCCATAACGGCTCTTAAACAATAATGGGAGAGAAACAGCCACACGATTAGTTAATAATTAAAAGCTATTTCAAAATATTTCCATGAGTCTATAAATGCACTGTAGAAGGGTTTTTTATTCTTAATGTACAAAACAGGGTTTGAAAAAATAGGTAGTTTTTTATGTATATTTTTCCCTCTTGAGACGTTACGGTAGTTTTGGTGGATTTTGGAAATGCATTAGCTTTACAGTTAGTCCTTGAATCATGACCATAGTTGAGAGCAGAATTTCTATGGTAAATGGTTGTATGGTCATAAGATAAGTCAGACCTTACTTTACAACAATTTTATGGTTGTTGTTAATTGAATCACTTGGTAGTTAAGAAAATCCAGCTTCCCCAATGTGTATAAAAGTAAAGGTTCCCCTCGCACTTACGTGCTAGTCATTTCTGACTCTAGGGGGCGGTGCTCATCTCCTTTTCAAAGCTGAAGAGCCAGCGCTGTCCAAAGACGTCTCCATGGTCATGTGGCCGGCATGACTAAACGCTGAAGGTGCATGGAATGCTGCTACCTTCCCACCAAAGGTAGTTCCTATTTTTCTACTTGCATTTTTACATGCTTTTGAACTGTTAGGTTGGCAGAAGCTGGGACAAGTAATGGGAGCTTACTCCGTTACACGGCACTAGGTACCAACTAATGTGTATATTTTACTGTAAATCACAAAAAACTTCGCAAATCGTGATCACGTGATTGCAGGATACTGCAACTGGTCATAAATAAAAACTGGCTTCCAAGTGCAGCCACAATCATGATGATGATCACCATGATTGCAGAGGTGGTGTGATGATTATAAGTGTGAGCACAAGTTATACAAGTTATAAGTCACTTTTTCCAAGGCTGTTGTAATTCCAAACCATTTTTAAACGAATGGTCATGAGAATTACCTATATTTAACCATAAATCAGAAACCCATTTCATAAAAAAAATTGGGCCTGATGAGCACTTACTGTACTTAGGGCTTGTATTTCATAAGATATGGGAGATTGGTTGAGTGAATGATGCACTCAAATC